ACGTGCCCCTGTACTCTGATCGTAATTCGGCTCTCACCGTGGATTACCGCTGATTACCGCTAAATATTGAGTCGAATATCATTTCCGTTATACCGAACGCGTCCGGAAATCGAGCTTATTATTGTATCTTGCGTGTTAAAGATTATTGCGCTGTTAATTACTGTTTGAGCTTCCGTATTACGCTCTGTGAGATATTATATTCACCTTCGTATCGTTTAACTCACTTTTACTGTTGCATTGTAATCGCCGTTATAAAGTTATTTGTATTATTATTAATTATTATTATTTCCGTTGTGACGAAACGTGACCTTCGCGTTATCGGTTAGGAATCTTAATCTCTTTGTCTTTCGAGCTCGTATGTTCGATTTCTTATATTATACATTTTATCTTTTTTTTGTTGTTATCCACCGGATTGTGTCTATTAGATTAATCTTATCTATTATATTAGTCTTTTCTATGTTACATATTCATACTGTATTCTAACTGTTAAATATATTTACGTAATGTTAAGTAAAATAACTACAGGTCGATTATTTCTCTCTCCTGAATACTCTCCAGCGTTCTCTCTTTAAACATTCAAATCACAAAGAACTCTGCCCCTCTGCCATACACTGAGCTTAATCGTCGGACATTACCGTTACCGTACCGATATCGTGGCGCGGAAATACCGTGCCTGGCGCCCAATTCCGCTCTCCCTTCCGGAGATTTATAAGTTACCGCATTTTTGGAGATACCGTCTTAACAATCGATACCGCCTGATACCATACCCGCCAAACTTGCACGCTACCTCCTCGAGATCGGCGTTCTCGAAGTGGGCAACGGCGTCGCAATATATATATATATATACCTATATATATATATATATATATATATATATATATATATATATATTGTGATGTTGCCGTCCTGTCGCGTGTCCATCCGTCCCGATAAGTTTAACGGGTCGCGGGCCGAGCGGCCGCGCCAGAATCTGCATCGAGAGAGAACATTATCGAGCTCCCCGGAGAGACGAATGATATGTTTTTCGCGTTTATTAATTTTATTATTTTTTGTCATTTCTTTTGTATCGAGCGAATTGCGAGCAACCCGCTGGAGAAAATCAGGAGGGCGAGGAGCGCATCGAGGGATCTTACGTCACGGCTGACGACACAGCGCTTCTCGACAGCCAGTGAGAGACGAAATAGCGCCCAAAGAATCCAGCCACCAAACGCCAAGGGGGCAACATCGCCCCTTCTCGGCCAAACAGGGCGAAGGCCTAATCGGCGCTATCTCCCCCGCAGAGGCGAGAACGACAGCTGAGCCTCCACCGGGTCATTGAAAATGGGCCCGCGACAACGAAATTTTAATTTAAGGCCGTTGCGCGCCAGGCACCGAAATACCTCGCATTTCACGAGGCGCCAGGATCTCTCGCGTGCCGCGATATGATTGGCCGCGGGGCTGCGCACCCCTCTACGCGGTCATTGACGCCGCTATCGACCCGGGATGGAAAGATCCAAGGATCATTCTGGTGCGGGAGCTCGACCTAATTAGTCGCTTTATTATAGTTGTCGTTTTGTGAGTCTTGTTTGTCGCCGTGTTGAGACATCCCGAGAGGACGAGGCCAAGGACCATCCCCTGCAGGGAGAACGTAGTATCGGTGAGGTTGCCCATCTTTTTATTATGAGCCACATACGCGATTTGATCCGCCGGCCGGCCATTCTGCCGCCGTCGCCATTTTCGTGTTTCGCGACCGCTCAGGCTCAGGATCGAGCCAGCGAGATTTTGGTGAATTTTCGGGCGATCGGAGGCAAGCGACCGAGGAAGAGCGGACAATCGTATTGTAGGCATTAATTGATAAGGTAAGTGTGGGTCCACAACCTTGCTTTAATGTGTTGTAAGCCCTAAGGCGCAGTACGTAATTGACGTCACGTCCGGGCGTAACAATGTTTTAAGCCGGATCACGTAGGGCGGAAAGGAAATGGTCAAATCCATTTTTTAACGCTAAAGTTAAAAGCATAGAGCCCAATACATCATCGCGGGCGAAAGTGTTTTTGTGCGACGTTTCACAATTTGTGGAAAAAATGAGCGATTGTATAAACGAAAATGTTGTTCAAGACATTGTACATATTAATGATGAAGCTTTGGCCACTCTTGTGAAGAGCAATCCATATTTATACAATAAAAAGCATAAAGATTTCAAGAATGTTGAAGTGAAAAAGGATACATGGAAAGTCATTAGTACATGTTGTGGTGCAACTTCTGGCAAGTATTTTCTATATTTCTATTTTTTTATATAAAAATTATTGACTATTTATGTCTTAAATGTGTAACGTGAATTAAATTTAGGTTAGGGTTAAGTTAAATGTTTTACATATCCATGGTATAATATATATCAGGTTCATTATAACCTTTAACATACTGAAAAATTATTGATTTCAGGAGAAGAAGCAGAAAATAGATGGAACCAACTTCGAAACCAGTTAGGAAGGAAGTTGCGGGAGATGAAACGTAAACCGCCCAGTGGTTCCGAAGGTGGAGTGAAAATGACCACTTGGGATTTAATGCCAGCCATGTCCTTTCTCATACCTCACATTGAACATAGAAGGTAAATAAAATTCTAATTCTCATATGGTACAAAAAGATCCTTTATTTTCCTGAGTTGTAAGTCATAAAAGATATACTGTGTAGAATGTCGAAAAAAAAGAAAAATTTCTTTTCCATTGTATATGATACATAACTTAAGAAACTGTTATAGTTGGACATAACATCACTTACGCAGTAAACCTTTTATGACTTACAACTTTCTCTATGTATTAAAGTATGCCCTAATATTAATTTCCAGAATTTTTTTGACAGAACTCGAGGTTCCATGACTTTCTCACATAATTCTGGACCGTCAACATCACCAAGCGGTTCATCTTCAAACTCTGAAAATTGTGTGATATTACCATCACCATCTTCACTCGATTTGGTGAGTGACGAAATATCAATCGAGTACGATGCAGAAGGGAATACATGCAGTTCCTCGCCTGTAAAAATTATATCGGATGATTTAGACGTTTTTATTGACATAACAAACAATGATGGTGATAAGAAAAAACAATTAAATGAAAGCGATGAAAAGAATGCTGGATTTCCGTCCAAGAAATATAAAACTGCTGTCCCGTCATTGGATACTTTTTCTCAACAAAAGAAGAATAAAGAGAATAATCTAGAATTGCTGATTGCAAAGTCTTCGTCTGCCATCCAATCTATGGCGACATGTTTCACACAGGATACTCTAAATGAAACGAATAAAGAAAAAAAGATGCATCCTTTTGTTGTTGCTATAGAAGCAGCATTTGAAAAGGTTTTTGCTGAAATGGAAATGGAATGTTTTATGGCTGTTATGAACGTTATCAGCAAATATCAAAAATAGGTAAACTTGTACCATCAACTATATTTACACGTCACTCTTAATTGGGTTTAATAATATCTGTAATTGTAAGATATTGGCCAATCATAACCGTTCCATTCTTCAGAGTTTCAGAGGAATGGCTATGATTAGCCAGTCTTAGAACTACGAATATTATAAAATCCGATTAAAGGTGACGTGTAAACATAGTCATCGATGAATACGTTTCCATTCCAAAGAACCTTGATTATAAAATCAAAAGTCAATTTTTTTTTCTAAATTTGTTTTTAATTTTAATTATGTTATACAAGGATACATTTTTATTTTTCTAGTGAACAAAATCGTTCCTATAATAAATGTTAATTATGTAATAATTTTATTTTAGCGAGAATATTATCAATATTTTAAGGGAAGTTTCATATCTTTACAAAAAAGTAGAAGCTAATCAGAACTCGCACTGGTAGTAACCTTATCATAATCTTACTACTTTCCTTAATAAGCTTATTCTCATCGAGAGTTCTGATTGGCTTCTGCTTCCTCATTTTCTGCCAAAGTGTGATTTCTTTCTAAAGGTGTCATTCCAAAGAACTATTTGTTTTTATTTTTAAATGTTATACATCTTTATTTTTAATTATGAAATAATTTTTATTTTAACAATAATTAATATTATTATTAATCTTTTAAATTATTTCAAAGATTTTTATTTCAAAGTATTATTTCAAAGATCCTTAACTAAAATATTGGAAGATTAATTAATTTTTCTAATTTTTAAAATTTTTCATTATATTATGCAAAAGTACAGTATTTATTTTGCTAATGAACAAAATTGTTTTTACTAGAAATGTTAATTCGTAATAAAAATTAATATCTATTATTAGTAATCTTTGTGTTGACATATACTGTGATTTTTATTTTAGTACGTAGATATAGTAATAATAGTATAAAAATATGTCTACAAGTATTATAATATATATTATAAATAAACTATATATATATATATATATACATATATGTATAAATTATTATAATATAATAATGATAAAATATTATTTACTGTTTTTTATTACAAATGAAACTAAGGCATATTTATATCAAAACCTCTGTAAATAGTTTGCCACTGCCAAGGCACTTTCCCTTCCTCACTCAAAAAATATTCTGCGATTGTGTCTCTCTGATGAGTTGCAACTAATGCACCTCTGTTTGCTCCTAATCGACCAATATTCTGGAGGTAGTTACAGAAAGGATCTCTCCGCCATTCACCAGGTACTAGATTATAACTGTCATCTTCGTGATCTACATATGAAGGTGGGCAATATTGTTTGAATCCCTGCAGGTGTTCTTCTCTTTTCATAATAAAGTTATGAAGACACACTGTGGCAAGAATAATGCTTTCACTATTATGAGGATGGTGAGCCAAAGTGTTGCGTAAAACTCGCCACCTATTAGAATTAAAATAAAAATAAATATGATTGAGTTACTTGTCTTTATATAATAGTTCATTGTCAATACTATTATGTTAATGGAAATACCTTGATGTCAAAATTCCAAAGGCATTCTCGATTGTGAGTCTTCCACGAGATAGCCTGTAATTAAAAATTCGATGTGCCTCGCTTAGGAAATTTCTTCTTGGATATGGTCTCATTAAGTTGGTGCGTAATGGGAATGCTTCATCGCCAACAAGAAAGTAGGGAACAAACACATTACTACCAGGCAACCGTTCTGGATCTGGGAAATTAAGAGACCCTTCCTCCATGGCTATACCAAATGCAGAGGAACTGAAAATACTGCTGTCTGGAAGAGATCCTAAAAAAATGTTGAAGTTATTAATAAGAAACAATCAAATTAAGAAAGAAAGGTTATTTTATACTATATTACAACGTACCATAATTTCCTACTTCCATCCATGTAAAGCAATATTTGCTGTCACAGAGTGCCATCAATACAAAGCTAAAATATTGTTTATAATTGAAGAATTGGAAGCCACATTTTGGTGGACATTGTAATCTGATATGCTTCCCATCTAAAGCTCCACAACAGTTTGGTAAATTCCATCTTGACCAGTATCCATCTGCTATGCGTTTCCATTCTATCGTGGAAGGTGGTGCTAAATGAGTACTCTTCAAACACTTCCATATAGCTTCACATGTCTCTCGAATCACCTCATATGCAGTAGACTTGCCTATCTTCCAATAGTTTGATAAACTAACAATGCTATTGCCAGATGCTAAGTAACTACAAACCAATATACAATTTAATAACAAAATGAAAAACAATAATACAAAATAATAAAACAAAATAATACAAAAAAAGTAGTCACAAATGGAATACAACATACCTAAGTGTGATGGCTAAACGAAATTCTGGAGTTAAAAACTCTCTATAACTATGTTTTTGAATATCATCTGTGATGATTGTTAAAAGTTCTTCAAATTGTTCAACTGTGAGTCGCGTAAATCGAAAAAACTTTTCATGATCTGTATGTTTGTATCTCAAAAAAACAGTCTCATACGCTCCCAGTTGCCCACGCTCCAGAATTAAAGGGTGCACCCACCAACGCCGACCACTGAATTTTTTTAGTCGCTTTAAATATAAATAGAGTTCAAATATAAATATATTTCCAACACACGCAAGGATAAATAAACGTTTTCGTTTGTTGTATTTTATTATTTGCGGCATTATTCCTTTGTAATGTAAATAAGGTTAAGGAAAGCACACACTTATCTACGAGAAAATAAACATTATGCATTATGCGTTATGGAATTAGACGTATAAATATTGTGGACTATTGTCTTTAAGGTTATATCTTGCGACTTAAAGCATACGGATTACGGCTTAAAGCTTTCGTCACTTAAAGCAAGGTTGTGGACCCACACTAACGTTCGTCTCTCTCCGGGTCTCGGGGTATTCATTACGCGTAGCTATCGACCGCCGAATATCGACTGCGTGCGCGAAGGATCGCGAAAAGCGTACGCCGGCCGTGTCGTCGTGTCATATCGTTGCCGCGTGAAATATTCCCGTAAATTATCTCAGGGCGATTTTTGTGTCTGATTTCATGGATGTCGTCGTCGATTGTTAAGAGTGCGTGTGAGTGTTTATTGTACTTTATCGTATTGTGTGCGTTAGAGTATTTGCGTCTTTGTCGCGCTTATTACGCCGTCGAATAGAGCGTAATAAATGTTAATAGAATACTTGCGTCTTTGTCGCGCTTATTACGCCGTCGAATAGAGCGTAATAAATGATACTCTGCGTCTGTCGAATTTGTCGCGGTGCGAAATAATTGCAAAAGTACCACCGAAAGTGAAATCTGAGCTGCTTGCGCGGAAGAAAGAGGCGAAACGCTGGCTGAGAAAAATCTCCGACCGCCGTCGGCTACCGAATATTGAAAATATCGTTCGCCTGTCGCATACGAGATCCGTCTTCGCAAAACTATTAGTTATTTTCGATCTCTGGTTAATTAGGCTGTCGAACTATTAGGTTGTCGTTTAGAGTTGCGAACTGGGAAATTGTGAGGAAGAATCTGTAGCGATAAGTTGTCGATTTGATTGCCGAAATTACGATATGTTTTGAGTGAATATTATCCGCGAATATTTTCGTGCCGAAAATCCTTTGTCTTTGGAGAAATATCGTTCCGTCCCGCAAACTCCGGCCATAAAAACGGGCTCGGATAAACAACAGGAATGTGTTAGCGCTCTCGTTTTCGATTGATGATTTCAAGCGAACATTTGCTTTGAATAACGTCTTATTATTCGTGCCAAGATTAATTTGATGGTGTATTTCGCTTTCGTAATTTTTTTGAATTTATTGTGAACCGTCGTTTTCAATCTGATTTGTTATTCAAGTTTATTCTTACATTTTTCTTTTATATTATTTCTTTAATAAATGTGTTATATTTCTTCGTTAAATTCGCGTAATTTATTTGAGTGTTAGTCTCTCGTGACTGTCGATATCTGTCGTTGAGTCTGTCGCATTTGGAATTAGTGAAGTCTCGCATAATCAATTGACTTTCTTCCAAAACCCCTCCCCTCTACCGTTAGGCGAGCTAATCGGCCCGTGGCGAAGCAGGCTATCATATTTTTCGCGTTTTTTGACGTTTCGTGGAAACTGATGCGTGAAAGATCGCATCTGGCACCCAACCTATCGAGATATCGAAATGGTCTCCGCTCCGCCGCGGCTCGCGCGAGAACGTCCTCCATCCCTGTTCCTCAGAGCGCGAATACATTAATTTCGCTATTTTTTTTTGACGGCGTTTTCGCTCCCCCGCGCATGCTCCCCTCCAACATCTCGAGGAGTGTGTCGATTAATTTGAATTGAAAGAAATGTCGCAATATATATATATGTTAATAAATATCTTAATATCGCTAGTCGAATAATCAAAGGATTATTGAAAAAATGTAGTCGACCAAACTAGCTAGAAATTTAGTTTATTATTGCGACGTTTCGACCATATGGTTGTGGTCCTTATCAAGTACATACTGCAAAGATTATAAATTGATAAATTAATTGACAGTTTCAATATATAACACGCTCAACGAATTAAAATGTAACAATGTTAGTATACCGAAGCCATAAATCAAGAGACCGGCATAGACGATAATCTTATAAATTGCACAAATCACATTAAAAAAGAAAACGTTATTTATTAAAAGATTTAAATTAGAGAGAAATTGATGTGTCCGTGAGAGACATCGTCAAGAGACTAAAAACAAACGCTATGAGACGGGACTATGTGACCTTTATTATTTTATCGTAAATATTATTTAAATTATCTGTGTCTTTCTGTAGGTTGATTAAATTATTATTAAATTTTTTGATGAAAAACATCTCAGCAATTTCTCTCTTTCGAACATATTTTTCGTTATACAGAATATTAGGTTTCGACCAGTCAAAATCATGTCTAGATTCTGATCTATGTTTGCTAATAACCGAATGATTAGATTCATGTAACTTTATATTGTTGCAATGTTCTTTTAATCGCGTACGTAAATGTCTTTTTGTTTACCCGATGTATGACAAATTGCAATCTTTACAATTTAATTTATATACAACACCTGTCTTATCGTTATTCTGTAAATTATCTTTACCAAGTCTAATTAAATTATTTAGTTTTTTAGTTATTTTGTAGACGACGTTAAAACCGCTATTTTTCAGAAGGCGATTCAAATCATGACTCGAATTCTCCACATATGGTATTGAAATAAATTGAGTCTTGTCAGAACCAGCAAGATTCACGTTAACTGTATCATTAAGATCACGATTATTTAAAAAATTAACTCTTTTTTGAATGTGTCTGTGTATTATATGTTCAGGAAAACAATTACTGATTAAAGTGTCAAATACTAATTTGATATTTTCTTGCCAGAAGCAGTCGTTAGATAATAGAATAGCATGGTCAACTAAATTCAAATGAGATTCGTCTCTCCAGTTCGGCGCCTCCACTGGTCGGCTGTCGTACTGGCCCTGGTGATCGGGGCGTCGACGCTGGCCGAGGTATGCGGCTCCGCTAGCGGAAAATGGCGAGAATCGCCGGTTACGGGAGTCCAAAAAGAAACTTCAAAAGAGTACTCTAATTGGTTCGTCTATGAGTGGTTTATCCCCTCTGATTGACTTGCGAGCTGATACTCGATTTCGGCTTTCCGCGGTCGGCCTTATATACTGGTCTTGCCGGATCTCACTTGCACGAAGATCGGCGCCTGTATGCTCGCGCTGCCGCGCGCTAGCTTGCGCGCCTCGGTTGCCGTGTGGCCAGGCACTCGGCGCTATACGCCGTTACGCCTGTGTGGCGTATGGTAGAACGCCACAGGACCCCCCTGGTTGTGGTAGAGTTGGTCCTATTTGGGCGTGAACCGGACTGGTTGACGTATCGTCCGTCCTGTTCTTGTCGTTTTGGACGTGGCTTCCGAGTCAGCCTTTGGTATCTTGGTAGTTGGTGTTTCGTCGTCCAAGATGTAGGCTGGCTTCAATCTGTCGACTGAGATGTTAACAGCCTTCCCTCTGATTCGGAGTTTGTACGTCTTGTTGCTTCGGTTCAGTACTTCGAATGGTCCGTCGTATGGCAGGTGAAGAGCTCCGGCTGATGCATCGTGTCGCACGAGCACGTGTGATGCTGTCTTCATATTTTTGAAGACGAAGGTGGTCTTCTTGGCATGATGCTCGACTGTTGATTGCAGGCGGATCATTGCCTTCCTTAGTCTTGTTACCAAAGTGTCTTTATTCCCTTGCCTGAGCAAACTGCTGCTGTCCAGGAACTGTTCTGGAAGGCTCCCGTACAGCATTTCTGCTGGGGTGGAGTTTACGTCTTCCTTTCAGGCTGCCCTGATGCCAAGTAGTATGACCGGTAGGACTTGGGTCCATGCCTCTATCTCGTGGCATTTTATTGCAGCTTTTAATTGGCGGTAGAATTTCTCCACCATTCCATTAGCCTCAGGATGGTACGCTGTCGTCCTGATGTGTTTGGTGCCAGTTAGCTTGGTTAGGTCCTGGAAGAGTTCGGCTTCGAATTGTCGGCTCTGGTCCGTCGTAATTCGAGCTGGTGTGCCGAACCGCGCTATCCAGTCTGTGAAGATATGTCTGGCGATCGTTTTTGTTGTGATGTTTGGTACTGGTATAGCCTCTGCCCATCGCGTGAACCTGTCCACTATGGTGCAGCAATACCTGCATCCTTCGGACATAGGTAGAGGTCCGACGATGTTAACATGGATGTGCTGGAATCTCTGCGTCGGCTGCATAAAAATTCCAGTCTGGGTGTGGTTATGCCTGGTCACCTTCGCTTTTTGGCACTGGATACATACTCGTGCCCATTCCTTGCAGTCCCGCTGGATTCCTGGCCACATGTATCTTTCTGCTACGAGTTTGGCTGTAGCCTTCATCCCTGGGTGCGCCAAACTGTGCAGGTATTGGAAGATCTTCTTCCTCAAGCTCTTAGGCACGTACGGTCGGACTACCGGTGTGCTGGTGGCGCATCATGCTGACTTCTTTGATCCGGGCACTGGAATTTGAGTTAATTTTATTTTATCTTCGCACTGCAGAAGTTCCTGTAATTCTTCGTCGTCCTTCTGCTCTTGTGCCACAGTGTCGAGTTCTACTGCGGTTTCTACCCGTGACAGTGTGTCGGCTACGGTATTATCTTTGTCTTCTATGTGCTGTATGTCCGTCGTGAATTGTCCTATGAACTCGAGATGTCGTGCTTGTCTTGGCGAGCTTTGTATAGGATTTTTCTTGAACGCATGTATTAATGGCTGATCCGTGAAAACAATGAATAGTTTTCCTTCTAGCATATGTCTGTAGTGTTTGATGGTGACATATATTGCTAGCAATTCCCTGTCGTATGGGCTGTATTTTATTTGTGCCGCGCTCAGTTTCTTGCTTAGAAATGCCAGAGGCTGCCATCCATTCGTTGTTTTTTGTTGAATCACAGCGCCCATTGCAGTTGCTGATGCGTCGGTTGTTACTGCTAGACTAGCCGTTGGATCCGGATGAGCTAAGAGTGTTACTCTTGCTAGGCTTTCCTTGCATTGTTTGAATGCCTGTTCGCGCTCCTGATTCCATTCGACCGTCGTTTTCCCTTTCGTCTTAGGTCTTTTTAAAGCGTCGTTCAAGATTGCCTGTTTTTCCGCAACCTTCGGAATGAACCTTCTGTAGAAGTTGATCGTCCCAAGAAATTGTCGTAGTTGCTTTGTGACCGGACAGATGGAAGAGTTATCAAGGATTTGGCCCGAATTATGAGGTTTAGTTCCTACCTTTACGGTCGCCAGTCTGTTTTCCCTCCAACAGACAAGGAAAATCTGCTACAACCCTCAGATGATCGCTGGAACCCCGGGTTGAGCGCCTCTGTTGATTGGATCCGCCGTATGGGAACCACTGTTTAATTAGCGATCGCCCTTCGTCACGGATTTCCTTTATTAGCACTACGCACTGAACCTTTCTTTGTCAGCACGCGTGGCTGACGCAACTGCGTATCACCCGGCCTCGGCCGAGCTTTGTGTAACCCGATCCGGTGTTACCTATCACGCGCGCACTATGCTCGCGACGGAATTTTCCACTCGCGACGCAATTTCTTACACGCGTCATTTACGACAAAGACCTTCGTCGTATTTCCCTCAGATTTTTTAAACACACACGCGATTAATCACGATCACTCGAGACAACGCGCAGATCGACTAATTATTGTTCCCTTTGTTACAGGTCTCGGTGACGCAACACGACTACGCATTCCCCAAAAAGACGTTATTATCGGAAGCCGAGACTCACGCACCGCGAAACCAGGAACTTCCACAGGCCGATCTATTTATTAGGTCAGGAAAATCCAAAGGATAAAGCTCTCACACATTCGCGAGAAAAGACAAACACTTGTGTTTGAATTTTAATGAAGAAATAAATTTATTTAAAAATTTATTTAATCTTATAATTATTATTATTATAATAATTAATTATACCTCGAACAACGTGTGACGACGTCGTCTTGATATTTGGATTAACGTCACACACTATTCACGTGACAGATTAATCCTCTTTTTCACACTAATTATCTTACGCGATAATTAACGTGACTTCACTTAAACTATTCGCATAAATAAAATTTACAATGAGATATATAAGCGCGGTATACTCGCACGAGAAGACTGATCTTACTCTCTTGAGCGCCCGATCGGGAAGAAGCCCCGAGCCTTTGTTGCGCTCGCTCTTATAGCCTCCCCACTCCTGAGAGACTCGCTCGTAGGCTCCGCCTACCGCAGTGTACACCTTTCTACACTTGGTGTACTTTTAACTTAAAAATAAAGATGAGTCAAAATAAACGTTATACGCGTATTCTTCGCGTGTAAATACGCATATAAATTAATAAAACTAAAGTAGACTTGCACCTTCGATGTGCATCTCCTACACCGAAAGTGCAGAAAATAATTTCTAACTAAACTACGCTATTCGCGCTAAAAACGACAGGGTTACGTTTCCCTGTGTTCACGAAACGAAAAGAAACAATTTTCGCAATATGCACCTCGCGAGTGCATTTATTGCCCTTAAGGTGCAACTAAATTATAATTAATTAAAACCACGCAGAATGCGCTAAGACTGTCAGGGCTATGTTTTCCTTGGCTCGCCGAACATAAAAGAACGATTTCGCGACGTGCACCTTACGAGTGCACTCATTGCACTTAAGGTGCAACCAAATTATAATTACATAATAATTACGCAAACTGCGCCAAATTGCCAGGTTACGTTTTCCTGGGCTCGCAAAACATAAATTAACATTTTTCGCTAAGTGCACTTTTTTATCTGCACTTTGTGCACTTTGTACACTTTACTCAAAAATAAAGTTAAACTTTGCAGAACGCGAAAATTCGGCAAGGATATTCTTTCCTGTGCCTTACAAAAGCAAAATAAATGATTTCCCGGAAGGGGACGGAAAACAATCAAAATAATAATATCGCGTAACGACGCTCCAAGACCGCCTGGGATCGGTCTCCTATGGTCCGCTAAATAAAATAAAGCTATTTTCTTAAGTGCACTTTTTAATTGCACTTTGTGCATTTTGTGCACCTTATTTCAAAATGAACTTAAAATTTCGCAGAACGCAAAAATTTGACACGGATTTACTTTCCCGTGCCTTCCGAAAAAGAAAATTAAGATTTCCCGAAGTGGGAGACAAAATAATCAAAGTTAATAAAACCGCGTGAAACGCGTTAAAACCAACTAGGATCGGTTTCCCGTGGTTCGGTAAATAAAATAAAGGTATTTTATTAAGTACACTTTTTTAACTGCACTATGTGCACTCGGTGCACTTTTTCGCGGTAACCATTATAATTGACCCGCGATCTCTATATCAGTCGTTATTTACTCGAACGAACTGATTTTAACTGAAATAGAACAAAATAGATTTTCGCCCTCTGCGACTTGTGCACTTCCGTCACTCGGCTACTCTAAAATAATAAAATAATAGAACCGGACGGTCTAGCTTTGCTTCCCGCACCGATAGGCGTACCCTAACGCAAAGACGATAAATTAAAGATATCCCGGGATCTACTACACTCGACAAGTGCACTACCTGCACTTTTTGCACTCTGTGCTTGATCTTAGGAAAAATAAGAATCTACTCTACTCGGGATGCTTCCCGATGAAGGAAAAGTCAAAAGACTAACTTGAGCCATGTGCACTTCTCGCGTGCACTTCTTGCACCTTGTGCACTTCCCGACTCTAGATTAAAATAAACTCATTCGAGGATATTTCACGCGTTATCTAAACGCTATAGAGTGTTATCCGAGCGTGACTTATTATCCTACGCTCGACGCTTAACTTATCTTAAATTTACAATAAGTAGGCTTAATAGTAACTTATGATATTCGCAGAATATCTAAATCTCACAGTTCTAACTGTCCGTGTGCCCGCCGCATGGGCTCTTTCCATGACGGGCCGGGTCGTGGTTCGACCACTTTTCTCGCAGCACGTCTCAGACGATATACCGGTGTCTTGTTGCCTTCGGAGTCCACACGGTACGTCACCGCGTCGGTGACCATCTTCACCGGAGAATCCTGCAGCATCGAAGAAGTCGATCCGTCACTGAAGATGGCCGATGAACCTGTCGGTCGCATCTTCACAGTTGTCGGTTGCGGGAAGCTTTTGATGGCGTCAATCTTTTCTGGCAAGGGTTGTGTTCCTTCCTTTGTGACTAAATATCCCAGAAACCGTACCGCGTCTGATCCGAAGGTGCATTTGGCTGAGTTAATTCTAACCCCGTAATCGCTGAGTCGTGCGAATAGCTGTCTCAGATGCGTCTCGTGCTGTTCCTTATCCGTTGATGCCACCAGGATGTCATCTATATACGCATAGCAGAATTCCAGGCCATGAAGAACTTCATTGATGAATCTCTGGAATGTTTGTGCTGCATTGCATAGTCCGAATGGCATGTACTTGAATTCAAAGAGGCCAAACGGCGTTGTTATGGCCGTTTTCGAGACGTCTTCTTGTCGCACTGGTATCTGCTCTAACCAAATCGATCATTGAAAAGATCTTCTTTTGGTGGAGCGTCTACGCGAAGTCTTCTATGTGCGGTATCGGATATCGGTCTGGAATGGTCCTTGCATTTAGTCGTCTGTAATCTCCGCATGGCCGCCAAGTGTTGTCTTTCTTCAGGACCATGTGGAGAGGTGATGACCATGCGCTCTTAGAGGGTTGTATGATGTCTTCTTGGAGAAGCAGGTCGAATTCTGTCCTAACCAATTTCAGCTTGTCCGGCGCTAATCTCCTTGGTCTGCAGGCTTCCGGTTGGCCTGGTGTTGTT